TTTCAGCCCAACGCCAGAAGTTGGACTTTCCAATCGATGTTGGAAAATTTGGATTCTGATTCTTCCAATGCACAAATATCTAGAAACGTTGCGAATCATTTTGACCAGAAAGTTCCCACCTTTTCTTTGCGGACGTGAAATGACTCAGTGCATTCTGAAACTGCGTTTTCAAGACTGATTCAGTCTTGGCTTCCGTTGACCAATAGACCCGCTTCAGAAGCGAATGTATTGGTCAACGGAAGCCGTGTTGAATCAGCTTCTTCGCAAAAACTGGCGAAAGACATACACGTTGCCAACCCCAGCCAATTCCTTCGGAGTTGTGAGAATAGATTTCCGTAGCATACAGTCTGCCAAGCTTACACGAAAACAGACACCATCACGCTCCACAGTTCTATTCTGTAGCCTTGTGCCCTTGAATATGAAGAGCGGACGGCCCATGTCTCTGGAGGCAAAAGTTACTGGCATATTGGTGACTCAGGAAACGTTTTTGAATGCAGGAATGCGGACCTGATTGATATGACTGCGGAGACAAAACGTCTTAGCACTGCCTAAAGCTAGCGCCTCCTCTGCAGTGGCACCAGCCTCATCCAAATTTGCCAATCGTGCTGAGTATATATTATGCCGTTTGATTAAGTCCTCTGCAACTGCGAAATGAGTCGTTAATGTGTTGCCGTTGATTACGGCATATCTGTTCCCCTCCTGCCTCAGAGATCGAACAAATGGGTTAGAATGCTTGTGACGTTCCTTGAACCCTCGCACAAATTTATCACCCGGGCGACCATTTTTAAAGGCAAGCGTTTTCCGCCTTTCATCATCCATCTCCTTTACAAAGAGCTCAACAGCATCCTTGATATCCTTGTGCCCAATTAGATAGCTTCGAAAGGCATATTTGCTTATAAGATCAATTAAGCACTGCTCTTCCTCGGATGTGAGGGACAATCGTTGATGTTTCATATCTGCGTTTTGATTCAAGTGTTTGTGGAGCATGCGACGAAATGTTGTCAGTCGCATGTGGGCCAGTTTTGCAGATCCACGGAGCGTGGCCCGCTCATTCAACGCGTCGACAGCTGCATTAAATCTTGCGCGTTCCTGCACAAATCGACGCTTGATACTGCGCTTTGAAATTTTCATGCTGGAGGCGCTGACAAATGGCTGCTCCAGCGGGCGGTGGTCACTTATCGCAGAGAGTCGTGAGGCAGCAGGCATCCGATTCATTGGAACTTTGAGGTGGCACCGTGCCCGGTAAAACGTTCGTACAATATACTGTGAAGCATGGTTTAACCTTGAATAGGCGGCAAATTGGGCGCCAACCTTGGCTGCCAATGTGCCCTTTTCGCTGACATATTCCGCTTTTTGTGGCACGAAAACTTTTGGGGAGGGAACGTGCGTGCAATCTTGCACTAATACTAATTTCTGTGTCTGTCTGTCTGTTTGTGTATGTGTGTGTGCGTTCCGGCGTTGCCATTGGCGCTACCGTGACAAGTGGCGGCCACGGGCAGGGCCTGGCCTGCGGCCAGGCCGTCACGGAAACGCGTGGCGGTGACAAGTGGCGACAAATGTAAAAGTTTAAATTAAAATTACTGTGCAGACTGCGGGGCGGGGCCCCACTACAGTACCGGTTGACAAATGGCGACAAGTGTAAAATTTAAAATTTAAATTACTGTGCGGGCTGCGGAGGGCAGCGCTACAGTACAATACAAATTTTAGCCCGGATCCGTTTAAACCGCGCCACGCGGATCTACATAGTGGGCGGAACTGGGGCGGGCACTGCGAGCACGTGACTGCGGTGTAGAAGATGGAGGCGTATGACAGGGGGCGGACGCGTGAGACACGGGGCTTCCCGAATTGCCGGAGGCTCGCGGCGACGTGGGCGAGGCGGTGATGCGTGGGCAGCTGTGGGTGGGGGGCCGAATTTCTTCAAGGCGGGGTTGCGCAGCGCGTAGTGGTTCGACTTTAGGGAGCGGATGTGGATGCGCGGCGACGAGGAAGTGCGGGCTGGGGCGGCGACTGGCGGCGATAAGGACGGTGGGCTGCAAGATGATGGGGGACGAGAGCGGTTTTGGGTGTGCGGCGACGACGGGGAGGAGGTGTGGGCCGGGGCGGCGATGGGGACGGTGTGGGAGGGTGGGTGCGAGGCGTTCGTGGCGAATAGGTGGGGGGCGCCGGGGCCGGACGCCGTGGAGCACCACACGCGCGCGTGCGTGGGAGGAGTGGAGGGCGCGGGAGCGGACCAGGCCGGAGCTGGACGGCGTGGAGTACTACAAGGGGCTTAAACCCGGCGCGCGTGCCGGGGGGCGGGGAAGGCGAGACGGCGATCGGGCGTCAACCGGGTCGCGCAGAGACGGTGGCGGGCGTGGCGTGCCGGCTTGCAGCGGAGGCGGGTGTTGAGGCCGTGGTGGGCGAGTGCGGCAGGCGGGGCGGGCGTGAGCCCGAGATCGGTGTGCATGCAGCTCCTCGCAAAGCGGTTCCACGCGTCGGCGGAGATGCTGCTGGAGCGACAAGCGGGCGACGCGCGCGTGGTGGCGAGCTGCGTATGGCTGCTGCGCAACATGAGCGGGCAGGACGCGGCGAAGAGCGCTGTACGCGGCGAGATGTGGCGGGTGACGCGCGTGGTAAGCGTCGGTGGCGGGGCGGACGGACGTGAGCGTGGCGGAGACGTTGTAAGGGCTGGTGGGTGGGGTGTGGCTGCGGCGCGGGGACGTGGCGGACGAGGGCGCTGGGGACAAGGCGGTCAATATAGTAGTGGGAGCGGCGGCGCGGAGGGCGGCGGCGCGGGCCGCGCGCGATGCGCATGGGCGAGGAACGCGGATGTTGTAGCATAATAGCGATGGTGACTATTTACTGCTGGGGGCGGCTACTGTACACGCATGACATGTTTTACAGCCCGTGCGCGAGCGGCTGTAAGTACACGCTTTCTGCTCGCTGTGTACGTGTACAGCGGGCGATCCGGAGTAAGGCGCACGAGCTTACCGTGTAAGCCACTAGATAGATACTGTAGTATGTTATGATGAATTTTTACTTGTATATTAAACGACAGGGCGACCGGCGGCGGAGGGAGGGGAAGGACAAGCACGGGCTTGTTGCCAGATCCTCCGCCGCAGGTCTAACCCAGTCCGCTTATTCTAAACGAGTTCTCTTAACGCGAGCGCGTTAAACAAGAGCTAACGCGGGTAGCGGTCGCGACAAGTGCGCGAGCGAGCCGGATCCGCCTCCGCCCGTCGGCGCTAGAACGCTAACTAGTGTCGCCCCGGGGCGTCGAGCGCGTCGATCCGCTCTAACGCGTACGCGTCCGCGTCCGCTCCCCACCGCTCTACCACGCTACCACCGCCCGCGTTCGTTCTGGTGTTTGTGCGTTTTTCTTCCTCGCGTCAACACAGGTCTTACGCAAACGTAGCTAAACACCCACCGCGACCGGAGGTCGATGCTACAGAAGGTGGTCGCTGCGAGTCGGGAAGCTGTCGCAGCCGGCGGTGCAACAGGGCGCGCGCGGGCGGGTGGGGGCAGGGAACCCCCGCCGGGTAGCAGTGCTAGGCGGAAGCGAGCGGCGACGTGGAGGGCGGCGGCGCGGACTATGTTTGCAGGCTGCAGGGGCCAGACCGCGCCCGTGGGGGAAGGGGGTACCGGCGGGCGGCCGCGCGGATCGGGCGCGGCTCGCAGGGTCGAGGAACGCGTAGCAGGACGAGGGGGCAAGGGGCGACGAAGACCGAAGAGAGGACGGGATAGTTACTGCAGAGGGCGGGGGAGCGGCGGGGCGGGGAACAGCGTGGTGTGCGGAACGAGGAGCGGAGGAGGAAGGGACTTGGCTCGGCGCTCGAAGCGCGCACGGAGCCCACTTGTCCCGCACTAATACTAATTTCCGTGTCTGTGTGTCTGTTTGTGTATGTGTGTGTGTGTGATCCTTCCGTGTACCTATTGGCGCACGTCGGCGCTATCGTGACAAGTGGCGGCCACGGGCGGGGCGCTGCCTGGCCGAAGGCCATGTTGGCCCGGGTGACAAGTGGCGACAAGCGTAACATTAAAATTTGTAGTTACTATGCGGACTGCGGGGCGCGGCACCACTACAGTACCGGGTGACAAGTGGCGACAAGTGTGGCGACAAGTGGCGGCCAGACGAGAGCGCTTTAATATAGCCCCAATTGGGCAGGACAGTACCGGCTTTCGGTTTCAGCAACTTTCACCACGTGACGGCTCCCTGGTTGCGCGGTGACCAGAGTCTGGTCAAGGCAGCGATCGTGATTCTATTCCAGCGTAGTAGTAGGTCGAATACGGCAATCCCTGCGAAACGTTTACCGGATTGCTTGACAGCATCCGGATAGTCCGTAGGTGTCTATTGCGATTTGCTTTTAGTATCGCGTGGTAGTCTTCCGCTGTACAGGAAGCCTAATCCAGTAGCGCACCATTTCTTGGTTCTGCAATATCGGGCTCGGAACAACGGCCTCCACAAAGCAATTTGTGGACGTCGGACTGGCGTTGTTATGGCAACGTCGTCAACTAAGATCAAACGCAGCCTCCGTCAAACAATAGAGGTTGCAAAAAGACACAGTGTAGGTGCCGTTAGGGTTTGGGAAACCTAGCAACCGCACTGAGGGGAAACGGAGCGGGCGTACTTAGCGACCCCGGCGGGAAGAGCTTTGCAAGAGGTTCTTTCTAATAAAATACCGGGCTTCCTGAGAGCTGAAATATACAAGGTGGTCGTACTCTGTGTATTACTACTGTACCCTGTGTATAGTAGGACCATTATTCTATTTCTGTTTTGTTTTTTGGTTCGTTTGAATCACGGGATAGTACAAGGCAATAAATGCCCTATTGGTACTCTTTTGCGAAGTGCTCTCGCGGACGACCTAGCTGGCTTTCGTTGCGTTTAGACTTTTGATGACTGCTTACTACGACTCATAGTGATCTAAAACGGACCCGTCGCACTGGCGTCAACTCTAGCTGCACTTACCAGGATAATAATAGCGCACCGAGCAGAACGGAAATGGCGGGACCAGCGAATAAAGATGTGGCAGAAGCAAGAAGGCAGCAAAAAAACGCGCGTACAAGAGCAAGAAGAGCGTAAGAGTCTGAATCTGACGCTCAAGCACGTCGTGAGGCGGGTTGGGCCCGTGCCAGAACGCAGAGGGAGCAACAAACCGAATCTCAGACGGAAGCGCGTCGACAGACCAACCAGGAACGTACTGCAGCACGAAGAGCAGCAGAGACTCCTGAGCAGCGCGAAGAGCGTCTCTGTCAAAACAGGGAAAGAGCCAGGGCGCGCAGAGCCCGTCAAGCACGGACAGAGAGTCCCAGAGAGTCTGCAGAGTGCCAAGCAGCAACAGAATGTGCCCATGCCTCCAATCGAGCATCTTTGCAACGCAGGAGACAAGCTGAGAACACTCCAGGTCGCATAACTCGTTTGGAGGCCTCTCGTGTCTCAATGCAACAGACAAGAGCTGACGCAGCAACCCCTCCTCCGAGATGCACGGCGCGAAACGGATCACATTGCCACTCGAGGCGTTAGAGCAGAGGAATGTACTCCTATGCGTGAGGCGCAGCGAGACCTTAACCGTCTCTCCAACCAACGATCAAGGGATGCACAAGACACACCCACTCGGAATGCGCCGCAAAGATCTGACCGCCAGGCTCGAAGTGCTTCTCGACAGCTCTTTCCTCCACTACCCGACTCCTCCCGTCGTACCGAGATATCGGTATGATGCGTGTTGATTGTTCGCAGTGCAAAGCTCTGCATTTCGTCCAAGAACGCATGGTGAGCAGCTCGGCTGCAAGGGCCATGCTTTCCACATGCTGTGAGAAGGGCAAGCTGTCTCTGCCCCTTCTCCCTGACCCGACAGCACTTCTGGGCTCTCTCATCGACGATACTCCAAGGTCCCGCCGCTTCCATAAGAACATTCGAGCACACAATGCAGCACTGTCTATGGCGTCCGTAGTTGCCAAATGGATGAACAGAGGGCCCGGTCCTTCTAACTTTAACCCCACAATGACGATGCAGGGCGAGATGTAACATTACATGGGTCCCATGGTGCCATACGACGGGCGGGCGCCTGCCTATGCTTCCGTTTACATTCACGACACTGACTACGCTACCCGGACGCGCACAAGACTTGGAAACTCTACACGACTGGAAGAGGAACTCATGACGCAACTGACACACATGCTGCAAGAATGCAAACCCTACGTGCAGACATTTCTGTGTATGCGTGAATGGGCACAATCTACTCATAACAACACTCCAGCCGCGTACCAGATGGTGATCCATGCCGACCGCAGGCCAAGTCATGGGCACGTGTGCCGGTACAATGGTCCCGAAGCTTCTAAAGTGGCTGCATTGATCCCTGGAAATGAAGACGGAGAGATTGGGCGAAGAGATATAGTCGTGTGCAGGCGTGGGATTCTGAATAATAACGGGAACGAAGTGCTGGATCCGATTTCAGTCAGTCATCGTGCATACGATCCATTGAGTTACGTGCTTTTGTTTCCGAACGGTAGAGATGGATGGTATTCAGAGCTTCGATTCTCCATTGAGGACGACGGCAGACGTAACAAGATAACTCCGATGATGTTCTACGGATAGCATTTGTTCGAAATGGCAGGCGAGGTAAGCACAATCTTTCACGCAGCACGACTCTTTCAGCAATATTTGGTTGACCAGTTCTGCAAAGTGGAAGCAGAAAGGCTTTCGTATCTCCGACACAACCAGACACAGCTTCGAGCTGCGGACTACTCCTCACTGCGCGACAGACAAGGAGACTCCGGTCGTGCTGAAGATGAAGCCGACGCGGTGCGTGTCGGACGACTGTTCACTCTCCCTTCCACGCACATTGGATGTGACCTCTACATGAGGCAGCAGATGCACGACATCATTGCTATATCCAGCCAAATTGGCCACCCGGACATCTTCCTCACCATGATATGCAATCCTATCTGGACGGAGATCACAAGAGCCCTGCTGCCCAATCAAACGCCTCATGACAGACCAGATCTGTGCGCACGTGTGTTTCGTCTCTAAATGAAGGATCTCATGTCCTTGGTCATCAACGAGGAAATGTTCGGAACCGTCGTTTCCCATGTACGAGTCATAGAATTTCAGAAACGCGGTCTCCCTCACGCTCACGTTGTAGTTTTCCTAGATGGGGTCTCCAAGAATGATCTGCGTAATCCCGAAAACGTCGACCGCATTACCTCTGCCCAGATCTCGTCTTCCGAAGATCCAGAACTCCAAGAGGTCGTGCTCAAGCATATGATTCACAACCCATGTGGAGAACACAATCCAACAGCCGTGTGTATGGGCGAGCAGTACTGCAAGAAAAGGTTTCCAAAATCATTCAAAAACGAAATCAGCCAGTCCGAGAGTGAGTACTACATCACGTATCGCAGAAGGTCCCCCTCCGCAGGTAGGGTCTCCATCGAGAGGCCCTCCGGCATTGGCCGACGACAGATATCCGTCGTAGTCGACAACTCCTGGGTCGTTCCCCGCAGTCCTCCGCTCCTACGATCGTTCGCATGCCATTTGAATGTGGAACTCTGCGTGTCACGCGTTGGCGGAATCAAATACCTCTTGAAGTGTGTGTGTAAGGGACAAGACCGAGTGACAATGGAAATCACTGCCGAAAACGAGTGCTACGACGAGATCTCCAACTTTCAAGATGTCAGATACGTGTCTGCATCGGAGGCCGCATGGGGGTTATTCTCCTTTGACATTGTTGATCGCAATCCTCCAGTGGTCAGACTTGCAGTTCATCTGCCCAACCACCATACGGTGTACTTTGAGGAAGGACGAGAGCAGGAGGCGGCGCTTCAACCGGCATCAGGTACGAAGCTGACCGAGTGGTTTAAAGCCAACGAACAGTACCCAAGCGCGAGGCATATTCGGTACCACAAGTTTCCAAAGTACTTTACGTGGAAGACAAGCCGCAAGTCATGGAGTCCAAGAGCATCTCTGCGAAGACGCATCGCCAGCAGCGAAGAGGAAGCCTACGATTTCAGTGGTGCAGGCGCCAACGTAGTCCGTCGAATCTATAGTGTCAGTCCGAGGGAGGGTGAGCGCTACTTTCTTCGCCTCCTCCTCACACAAGTGCCAGGGGCAACATCTTTCGAGAACTAGCAAAACATCGACGGCGAGCAGTGCACCAGCCTCCGACAAGCTTGCTTACGACTTGGTTTGCTGGCCGACGATGCCGAGTGGAAGCACGTCATCCGAGATTCATTCCGGTCAGGCTTCGTTCCCCTTTCTCATCTGTTCGCTACGATTCTGGCACATTGCCAACCTTCGGATCCTCTCTGGCTGTGAAACGACCATCTGCACATGTTTCTCGCTGATATTCGCAATCGTGCACGTAGACAACCCATTCGAAGACAGCAGCTTCGCGATGATCACCACGCCACATCTTACGTGCTTGAAGAGGTACAGGAGGCCCTGAAGACTGTGCGTTCCGACTGGACGCTCGCACACTTCGAACTCCCACTCCCCAATGACAGCCTGCCCGCTTTGGAACAGCCAAACAAGATCCAGACACCCGAAGCACAAGCGCAGAAGTGCGAAGAGCGACTACAGACATCGTTGCCGCTGTTAAACACAAATCAACGCCATGTCTTTGACGAAATAGTTAGCTCCATGCTTCCAGGCTTATCCGTCTCGGCATTGCTTCAAGGATCCTCGAGCGCCGTTGCGGGATCTTCTATGCCAACACAAATTAGTCGTCTCTTCTTCCTCGATCCTCGATGCTACTGGCGGAACAGGCAAAACATTCGTGCTCAGCGCCATGCAAGACTTCCTTCGTTCGCGACGCAAGCAAGTCATCGCCGTCGCTCCATCTGCTGTTGCTGCAGTGTTGCTCGACGGTGGACGCACCGCTCATTCCGTGTTCAAGATTTGCATTCCTGTATCTACCGAAAGCACTTGGAACTTCTCCACAAACTCCGACACCGGTCGTACATTGCAACAAGTCGATCTTGTCATATGAAACGAGATCTTCATGTGCCATCGAAACTGCATTGAGACTGTCGATCGCTCCCTTCGCGACTTGATGCAAACCGACAGGCCCTTCGGAGGAAAGTTCCTCTTGCTCGCTGGAAACTTTAGACAAATCCTTCCCGTCGTTCCGGGCGGGTCCAGAGGTCAAATCGTGAGCGCGTGCGTCAAATCTTCCCCACTGTATCGAGAGTGCCGATTTCTGTGCCTTACCGAGAACATGCGCCTCGCTGATCTCCGAGCGGACCCTGCAGCAGATGTGGAGGCTCTCAACTTCCCAGAGTTCCTCCTCAGCACCGGGGAAGGCAGAATTCAATGCTAACAGCGCCCGGAATGGATCTCAATTCCACAGTCCGTAGCATTCGAGCAAATCATCCGCAATTTATGCCTCAAGGTCTTCCGCGGCAGTCGAGACATTCACGCCGACCCTACATGGCTCACCAAGCGCGTTATACTCACCACAAAGAACAGACCGCTAGAGCAGGTCAACGAAGTCATCGGCAACATGATGCGGGGACCGTATCGAACATATTTAATCGCAAAAAGGTCGAGAGTGAAGACACCAACGCGCTGATCAATCCTACGGAAATGGTCAACACTTTGACGGCCGGGTCTGCTCTACCAGACCACAAGCTCAAACTCAAGAAAGGTTTCATCGTCATGCTTCTGCGCAATCTAGATCCCACTTCCGGTCACGTCAACGGCGCACGATATGTCATCTAGAAAATGACCAACAACCTACTCTTTCTTCGCGTTACCTCGGGGTCACATGAAGGCAACAGACTCTGCCTTCCACGAATGCCCTGCGGACCAGGCGACGACAACTTTCCCATCCCTGGTTTTACTCAAACGCAGTTCCCGATTCGCACGTGCTTCGCCCTTACAACAAACAAAGCGCAAGTCCAGTCCTTTGGTGGCCGCATCGGTCTCGACCTAGGAGATCATTGCTTCTCGCACGGTCCACTCTACGTCGCATTATCGAGGACTACTCACCTAAGCAACGTCACTGTTCTCACTCGAGAGTCCGATGCAACAATGCGAAACATAGTATACCCCGAGGTCCTTCAGTAGTCATCAAAAAAAGTAAACACCATTCTCTTTACGTCTTCCCCTTGCCACCCTTCCGAATTATTGCTCCTCCACGCGGACTTCGCTTGGCGGGCAAAGCGCGCACGGAGCCCACTTGTCCACAACTACTAATACTAATGTGTGTGTGTATGTGCACTTTCGCAAATTTCGCCACTTTTCGGAAAATGAACGGGCAAGTTTAGGATCAACAAATTTCGGCCGCTACGGCCGGGCCACGCCGACACGTGGCGGCTGCAGCCATGAACGGGCACGAGCGAGGTGCGGCCTGGCCTGCGGCCAGGCCGCCACGCGGACACATGGCGCCCACGGCCATGGCCGCATAGATTTTTGAAGTAAATATCGAATTGTTCCCAGCGCACCAATAGAAAACGGTCAATTTTTATGTCAATTTTTAGTCGTTCACAATGCAACATTAAAAACGGTCAATGTTTCGGCAGTCGCGGCGCACGATCAATTTTCCCAATGCTACCAACCTATTTAACTCTATATAGCTGCACTTCCACAACACAGTACCGGCTTCCGATTTTAACATTTTTCAGAAAATGTTTCACCGCGTGACGGTGTAGCAGATGCCCTTCCCGGAATTAGATTTAGATTACATTTGTAACTGTAGAGCCCGAGCTCCACAATACCTCAGCCCGCGCGCACACATGTACCCCATGTGTACGGGGGCGCGCGCACATGGGTAGTGCCAGCCCCAACGGCTGACAGTATTACAGTGCAGGCCGACCTGCACTGCAGTAGCCCACTACAGTAAATCGGTACTGTAGTGTTATGATAGATTATTGTGTACATTAAATATGAGCGGACTGCTGGCGGTGGAGGGGGGACAAGCACGAACTTGTCAAAGATCATCCACCTTGGTCCGCCCGCTTACTCTCAGGTACTTCCTTTAGTTACCGAGGAGTAGCACCGCGCGCGGGTTGAGGACGCGCAGAGCACGCCCACGAGCCGGCTCCGCCTCCGCCCGTCGGTACTGGACCGTCACCCAGTTCCGCTCCGGGGCGTTGAGGCGTCGAACCGCTCGCGCGTGCGCACGTCCTCCCCGATCCCGCTCTACCACCGCTTCCTCGAGCCCGTGCTCGACACCGTGAGTGGGCTGTGCTTCTATCTTCCCCGACGATCGGGGTCTTTCCGAACTCTCAGTACTCACCCCCCTCGTCGTTGGGGGTGATTATTCTACAGGCAGCTCCCTGGTAGCGTGGTGAACAGAGTTCTGAGCGAGGAAGCGATCGTGCCTCTATGCTGGCGTAGTAGTGGGTCGAATACGGCATTCCCTGCAAAACGTTTAATGCATTGCTTGGCGGCATCCTGATAGTCTGTAGGTGTTTATTGTACTGTACTTTTAGTACAGTGTGGTAGTCTGCCGCCGTGCATGAAGCCTATTCCGATAGCGCCCCATTTTTTGGTGCTGCAGTATCGGGCTCCAAACGACGGCCTCCACAGAGCAATTTGCGGACGTCGGACTGACTTTATTGTAACGTTGACAACGAAGATCAAACGTAGCCTCCGTCAACCTATAGAGGCTGCAATGAAACCCAGTGTAGGTGCCGTTAGAGGCTTCAGGAAACCAAACCACCACATTGAGGGAAAAGGGAGCCCGCGTACTTAGCGACCCTGGCGGAAAGAGCCTTGCCTTGTAAGAGGTTCTTTCTAATACCGGGCTCCCTGGGAGTAGGAATAAAAAGTGGTCGTACTCTGAGTATTTATACTTCACCGGGCGTATAGTACGATCACGAATCTATTTATTTTTTGTTTTTCCGCGTTTGAGTTGTGTTGTAGTCTACTTCATGCCTTCTAGAGTTCCTTCATCTTCAGTTAGTAACGCCAGGCGTGCACAGGAGCGTTCATGTGCCGCACGGCGTCATCAACAACTAAGTGAGGAGGAAGTCGAGGACCACAGATGTTATAACAGAGAACGAATGGCAAAAAACCGTGCCTCAGAAACTGCTCAACAGCGTGCAGTGCGACTTTTAGGAGATCGTAATGCTACTCGGAGATGAAGGAATGTGGAGACTGAGCTGGAGCGTGTGAATCGACAAAGTATAGACCGCGTGTCCACCCGTGATGCAAGAGCCAATGAACACACTGAACACACTCCAGTTAGACGTTTCCGACAGAATTTTAGCCGTGTCCGTATGCGTGAGGCTAGAAGAATGGAGGATACGCCTACAACGAGTGCCCGTCAGGACTCTAATAGAGCAAGCATGCGTGAGGCTAGAAGTATGGAGGACACACCTACAAGGAGTGCCCTTCAGGACTCTAATCGAGCAAATATGCATGAGGCTAGAGATATGGAAGACACACCTGCGAGGATTTCCAGGCAAGAAGACAACCGTACTCACATGAATCAAACCCGGCATCTTGAATACGTCATATAGCCCCCCCTGGGGCTTTAAATTAGATTAGATCAAGAACTAGATCACCTACCGTAGAGGGTCGAGCTCCACAGTACTACCGCACATGGCCACGTGTACCCCTCGGGTACAGGGCACATGCCTGCACACGTGCACACATGTACACGTGTGCGCACGCGAAGGAAGCACGCGCCCACACGTGTACTGTCAGCTCCGATGACTGACAGTATTACAGTGCAGGCCGACCTGCACTACTGTAGTGTTATGATAGATTACTTTGTACATTAAATACACAGCGGACTGACGGCGGGTAGGGGGACAACGAGGGACTGGTTCTCAACCAACTGCCAAGGTCAGTCCACCCAGCTTATTCTAACGACGCGCCTTCGCCTTCGCGCGCGTTGGGAGGAGGGGAGCGGGTACGGGACACACGCGTGCCCGAGGGAGCCTAGATCCGCCTCCGCCCGTCAGCGCTGGTATGTTACCTAGCGCTGCTACGGGGCGTCGAGGCGTAGATCGGCCCGCGCGTACGCTCGTCCCCGACCGTCCCGCTCTACCACACCGCTACCAGGGCCCGCTTCCCTGCCTTATTAGCTGGCGCTTCATCCGTCTTCCTGTTCGAACGGGGTCTACCTCGGACTGTGCATACACCCTCAGTCGTTTGGGGGTGTTTATGCTACAATATAC